CAAGTGTCTGCGGTTTACTGGAACAGAGAGAAACAACTACACCCTCACCACACCTTCCCCCCAAGTGTCTGCGGTTTACTGGAACAGAGAGATACAACTACACCCTCACGACACCTTCCCCCCAAGTGTCTGCGGTTTACTGGAACAGAGAGATACAACTACAACCTCACGACACCTTCCCTCCAAGTGTCTGCGGTTTACTGGAACAGAGAGATACAACTACACCCTCACGACACCTTCCCACCAAGTGTCTGCGGTTTACTGGAACAGAGAGATACAACTACACACTCACACCAAGAGCCGCTTGTCCTTTCTTAACTTTCAGAACAAGCAACACTGATCGCAGTCCGCCAAAACTCAAGGATGAATTGGAAAACAATGTCCAGCTGAAATGTGAAGCATAATGCCACAGCCAGCCGAGGAGAAGAAGAAGCCTTTGCCTCTGAATGAAGCACGGGACAGTGACCACAGTTGTCCAGCTTTAGTGCTTTGTGCTTCACTCAAATAAAAAGTGTCAGCGAAAACTCCCACGGTGCCACAGTACACGACAAAATTGATCATGTCCAGGGAAAGAGGCAAAAAACCAGCTCACAACATCTACACCACGTCCTTCACCACAACGTCTATACCACGTCCTTCATCACAACGTCTACACCATGTCCTTCAACGTCCTTCATCACAACGTCTACACCACGTCCTTCATCATCGTACCACAATCCACTTTGTCTATGCCATAACCCCTTCATTTCTCTTTTTGTCTTCTGTCTATGTGTCTTGTTCAGTGTGGCCGTGGTTTTGTGGTTTGTTCAAAGAAGCCAGGACGGTCCAGCCTGCCAGAAAAAGGTGAGCAAGGACGGCTTTGTCCCACTCCTCCCAATAGAACAGAAGAATGGGCCCCAAAGAGTGGGACCACAGGATAGACCAACACCAGCGGTCCCTCACATTCCTTAAGTTGAAGCCTGCCAGAGGCCAGAGACGGGCTGGGGGTGTGACGGCTGCCAACAAGCTCCTGTGTGTGGCTCAGCTGCTGCTGCTGCTGGTACGATCCAGCCTCCTCTGAGTGGCCTCCAGCACAACAGCTCTCCGCCGCCACTGTTCCTCCGCCGCCGACTCCTGCTCCAAGGACGTTGCTCTGTGCGTGCTCGGCTCAACAATCCCCGCTGTACCCCCGGCTGTGGAACTCTTGGGCGCGGTGGATCTTGTCCAATCATTGCTTGTCTTCTCATTGCTCGCCTTCTCAAGCTTGGCCTGGTATCGTCTGCAAGATACAGTTGAACAAATCGGACATTACCCTCAAACAGTGAACACAGCTCTAAACTACATCACAATAACAATTGTCCGTATGATCAGGCACAGAAAAAACCCGCTCAAAACTGCACCACGAAATCAGAAAATAAATCCACAACGGGGGGGGGTCAGCAAAAAAAACCAAAAAAGGGAAGAAACCAAACACTCAATCCTTCCACACACACACACAAACATCTGACAAACCAAACACTCAATCCTTCCACA